AGCCCGGAGGTGTTCCGCCTCTCCCAGGAAAAGTCTTGCTTCCCCTACACTTGGTGATACCTGGCTCATTCCTAGAAGGCAAAACGTGCTTGTCAGAGATATTTGTACGCTGGCTCTACTGGGATGCAGTAGAAAGCACCTGCCCTACTTACCCCTTTCTGCTGGACAGCAGAATGTAATCAGAGGCTCCTGTGAGCAGTCACAGACAGTCCCCCCCATCCCCTCCAACATGGTTCTTAGCTCACCCTGGTATGCAGATGCAAGCGGAAGAAGGGGTTGAAGTCCACAGTCTAGTGTTTGTGGTTCACACTAGTGCGTAAAAGGGCAAGAACCCACCACCACCAGAGAAGACCTTTTACAGTAGTTAGACCTTCTGAGGTGCAAAGCAAGATGCCAGGCAAAAACTGGTTCTATCAGATCAGAACAGCCTCTCTCCTAGAGAGTTAGCTGAACAGCAGCTTAAAAACTGAGCCCGACCTAAGCAGTCATCAAAAAATTGCTGCTAAATCAAGGTGGCATCTTCAGCTTCAACCCCAGCTCATGCAATTACATCAGTGGGACAAACTCCCAACTGACACACCAGCCAGCCAAAGATGACCTGGCCTTGGCTCTGCACAGTGCCCTGGGAAGCAGCAGACAGGTTACAGGGACAGCAGCATGTAGAAGACCCAACAGTACCTCAGAGTGTGCAGTCTCCCCCTGCCCCTCCTCATTTCTCTCCTTCTTGGAATGCACTGCAGCACAGGGATGGCGCTGTCTCTTCCGCTTCCGCTGCTTCTCCAAGAGCTTTTCAGAAGCTGGGATGCAACAGAAAGACCACTCAAGCAAAATGCAGAGATTATTTCCTTGCTACAAGTGTCGCCAACAAGTTCTACACCCTTTTCAGGCTGGGTCCTACTGTCTTTAAGGACATAAAGGCTGGGACAATACCAGCCTCGCGGCAGTCTGCCCTCTGTCCTGCAACCATTACAGGACCACGGATCCATACTGGTTTAAACTCCTTTCGCTAGGCTGCTGAGCAACATCACTGACTTTCCTGAAACAGCCTGCCAGTAGAAAAGAAGAACTGCTACCAACACAAAGCTCACACTGCTTATCAAATGCTGATAACTACCTCCTCCCACCACACTGCAGCAAAAAATTCCTCATGTTGACATCAATGTGCTACAAAGGCAGACGGGGAGGGGGTACAGTGCAACTGCACAACTGTCTGTAGGATGGGACAAGGCAGCCACCACTGCGCCCGGTCACAGCCCGTCCTCAGGCAAAAGGCAGCACATTGGTCCTGGACCTGTGCTGACAAGTTTCCATCAAGCACCCGGACTATGAATGAGAACCAAGTATCTTCTCGCGGAAATGTGAACCCACCACCTTCACTGTCCACAGGGAAATCAAAGACACAACAGTGCTTTGGGTAAACAATCTTGGAAACTATTTCTTGTGCCATTGCCTCAGCTGAGGCACGCACCCTCCGAGAGCCCAGGACACGTAAGCCCTCACACACACAAAGTCACAGGCACTGATCCAAGTGTTACCAACAGCCTTACCCCCGCAGCCCTGCCTTCACTTACCTTCTCCCAGGTCCGAGAAGCGGGCTGGCGAGTAGAGCTCAGAGCTGTCGCTCTCCAAGGGGCCAGTGCCCTACAAACACACAAGAGTCAAGTCACCAGATGCAAATCAGAGATGCACGTTTGTCAGCCACTCAGAGCCTCTACAAATGACTGCAACATGTAACTTACAGCTCAGGTCACAAATTCATCAGTGATTAGAGACTTCACAAGAAAACATTTCTTTTGTGTGTGTGATAGATCCCACACGGAAAAGTCAGTCTCTGGGCAGGGAGGGTTGCTGAGCCTGCTGTGCCTTGTGCTCACCAGCATCATCCGCTGCCTCCTGAGCTCTCCCAAAGAGGCTGCTAACACTCTGTAAGCTGCTGGGAACAGAGACTCTCTTCTAGCTTTACACTTTTATGGAGCTTAAGACTGAATTACACTGGCCTCTGCATTACTGCAAGAATGATAACTGTATTAAGACTGTGCCACACAGAGAGAGAAAAATGAGGAAAACTGTTATTAATGAATCTCAGAAACAGTGGCAACAAGCCTTGTGCAGGTACACGATCCAAAATAATTCTTTACAAGTTGCTTTTTTCCAAACCATGCCACTGAATATTGAGTATTTAGCAGAGAAGAGCGGCATTTTCTTTAAAAATCTGCACCAAGCACTGCACACTACAAGTGATACAACTCAAGCCTCCACCCTGCTGCAAGCTCTGCACTTCTGTACCATTCACCAACCCACTTGGGAAGGCAACAAAGGAAACACTGCTCAGAGCAAATCTGACCGAGAAGGACAAAGCCTGAGGTTCAAGCTCCAGCTACACGACCACAGCAACAGAAAGCCTCTGTGCAGAACACCCACTCACACCTTCTTAGCCAGCATCCAGATGACTCCTTTTCCATATAAATCAATGAAGAGAAGAGATTTTACAGCCAAAACTACCCAATCCCCATTACAAATGGGGAGGGGTGGGGAACACATCTGTATTCAGCCGGTTTCTTCATCATAACACAGCAAGCAGCACCTTTGGGAAGGGTGGACCTTTGCTCCTGGGCCACAGCCACTGTCTGGGCTCGTTTTCTATCTGGTTTTCAAAAGAGCTGGAAGGAAAGTACCTTCTTTGGGGGAGTCCACTCCTCCTTCTTTGGCATAAAGGCAGTGTCCAAATCATTGGATTCCAAGAGCTTTTTAGTGGGCCTCCTTTGACGCTTGCTTTCGAAGTTTCCTGCAATGAAACTCTTCACATTAGATAAAAGGGGGTTTTCTTCTCTTCAATCAAACTAAGACCGTTAAGCAAACATCAGCCAACAGTTCAAAACAACCTGCTTCACCCTGTCTTTGGGATCATAAGCTCCTTGGGCAGAGAAGCCAATTACCTGTTTCTGTACAACTTCCACAAAAATGCACCCCAGTCTGCCATGACCTTCCGACATACCTCAATATGTAATACAAAAAGCCACCCACAGAAGAGAGACTATGAAGTCAATGCCAGAAGTAACACATCCTGGCAGCGCAACTCTGATAATAATTTCCCAATCACTTTGATCTGGCATAAGCCAGTCTTACCACTGACAAACACAACCCTGCTTCCACTCCCACACCACTCACACCAGCATTCATGCTGCACGTAGTAAACAGGCTAAAGGACGCGCTCCTGGTTACAACTACCTGGGAAAAGACACCCTAGACAAACTAGCTGTAACCTGCATCATTTCCTGCTCAAGCTTTTTGCTGGCACTCAGGAGATAACAAGCTGCTAGACCTGGGCTCATTCACACTAATTCTGGCAACAGTATAGACTTGAAACAACACAGAAGTGATGATGCAATGAGTGTAAGACACTCCACAGAAGCAGCCTGCTACCCACTCCACTCTATCGATCTGCTTGCTTCACTAGCCTTAGCTGTGTCCTTTCTGTGACACACACCTCTGCACGCGCTGCTTCTGCGAACACCTAACGGAAGGACAACGCGGACAGCATCGCTCTCCAGGCAAGCCCCTGCCCACAGCTTAGGCTCTGTGTGCTTCAGCAAGAGGCGAGTGTTCTCAGGAGGGGGAAGTGCTATGCAGCCTCTGCACACTGGACATCGGCTCCCACTGCTGCACCCTGTACTGTTCTCCTGCATCTCCAACCTCAGGTTCACACACCCAGTTTTTCCTCCTTCAGTCCTCCCCAGCTTTCCATTTCCATCTGACACCCACAAGCCCTCAAAGGCAGCTCCCTCTGCCCTCAAACAGAACAGGCTAACTGACCTCCCAGTGACTGTACCTCTCTGTCTGCTTAGTTTAAACTTTTCTGACCATAGGCCCTTTAGAACAGGAACAGTGTTCCCTCCAAGGCAGCACAACCAGAACACCAGGGTTTTAACCCTGGACCCGTCTTTAGACGCTACCAGAGAAAAACAGACCCTGATACTGACTCTGCTAGAAAGGGCAAAAGCCCATCAGACCGCACTCGCTCTTCATACACTGTGCCCTATTGAGAGTTCAGGTCCTGGTGTGCTGCTAGTACAAGTGTCTGACTATTTCTACAGATGCTTAGAGCCTCTAGGAAAAGAAGTTTTTCCAGAGGGATTTCTGTGCTACAATTCCCTGAGCTCACTAAGAGAGCAAAAAAGGTCACCCCACAAGCTATGCAGATTAGACTTTGCGTATCAACCTCAGCACAGCAACATTCATCCGAAGGGTTTTAACAGCAGCAAGAGACCTTCAAGCTAAAGGAATGCCACTGTTTGTAAGCAGAGATGGAAAGGATTCAGAGAAGGAGCTGTGACTTTCTTCTTCTGGATAAAGGCATATCAGTATTCTGTGCCAGGACCTACGGAGGACCACCATATACCACAGAAAGTGAAAAGCGTAAGTGTAATCAGCCAGCTCACTGGGTCACCCACTGCACCTGCCCTCTCCCTTCCCAACATCAGTACAGTCACAGAGCGAATCAAAGCAAAACCAACCTAACAGATCAACAGCTACTAACCTTCCACTCCGAGGCAACAATTTCCATACCACTTGTGATATGTTCACTTATGGGAGCAGAATCACCCAGCCTCCCACTTACCCGATTTCAGGAATCTCTCTTCAGCACATGGAGAAGCAGAAACTTCAGAAACATCTGAGGAAGACAGCACCAGCTCTGGAAAATCTGAAGGTCCTTCTAGAAGTTGATCAGTGGGATCAGTGGAATGGGATCTTAGTTCTGAGAAGGAACACTCTGCTTCAAGGATGGGAGGGGACTCTTTGGTTGAAGATGGAGTTGAAACCAAAGGACTCGGCCCCCGCTGGGCATCAGGACTGCATTGTGCAGGAAGACCTCCTTCAAATTCAGACCTCACCACAGAATTCACCTAGCATAAACAAATATGTCGGTGAAAACTTTCATTCTGCATGGCACCGTACAGACCAACAACTCAGCCAGCAACAACGTGTCAAGAGCACACAGACCAGAGCCCCAGAGCAATAATCACGAAGAGCACATTAGCCTTCACCCACCTTTTGCAATTGCTCCTGGCCCTTCTTTGATTTTTTCTTGGGTGCAAATAAGTGATCATATTCTTCTGCATACTCCAGAAGCCGTTTACTTGGCTTTCTGAGGCGTTTCCTCTCTGAATGTACTAAGAGAAAGGAAAGCAGCTTCAAGACTGTGTTTCTGAGACCATCACAAGACAAAATTCTCCTTATGATCTGTAGATAACAGTTCTTCCTGCCTTCTCTTCCACAGGCTCCATGTGGGAAGAGCCCCGATACTTCTTTCTCTTTGATACAATGTTATAATTTTTGAGCTTCCTATTTTCCACAATCCCAATGGCAGGTGGGATTTTTAAGGACCTAAGGTACTTCAAGCAATTTAGACAAGAAATCAAAAAACATTAGATATCTGACCTAGAGGCTCTTGGAATTTCCCCCAACATCTCCCTAGACAAGCTACATCTAACCTTCTTGCAGTACTTCTACCAAAACCTAAGTCCATGAGCAACTCAAACTCATTGTGCTACTTCTGCTGTTCACCCAAACTCCTTTGGTTTTAGTGCAGGGGCATGGAAAAACGCTGTTTTCCCGTAACGCTATTCAGTCACTGGTTTCACTAGTAACACATAAGCCTAACTCCTTTCCTTCCCTTCCCCTCCTCCCTGACATTTTTGTATATACTGCAAGAGCCTTGTATTCCCCATCTGCTACTGCAAGCCCGTTTATTGCCTTTGCTTCCTGACCATAGATTCCACCATGAGATCAGGGAACGGACAGTCCTTGCCAGCGACTGCAAGCTCTTCAGGGCTCCAATGTCTTTGCTTGCACAGTGCTGCACCATCGCAAGGGAAACCCGGTCACAGGTATTTCCTCGGCACAAAGGTGACCACCGATGCTATACCACCTTAACACTCCAACGCACGGCGAGCTCCAAAAAAAAAAACAAAAAACCCCGAAACCCTACACCACCTCTAATCCGCAAGCTGCAAAAGCAAAATGATTCAAGTTTATATCTTATCAACATTTCCCAGAATACCTCTTGAGTTTTCACCTTTATTAGTTTTCAAAATTATTCAATAATATTGTCAAAAGATTTCTCCTAGTCATGAAAACATCTGTGGTCTCCTGGAAGCGTTGGAACAAACAGTAAATATTCTCTTTGCTTCTTTTCACGTGCAAGAGGTGGCTTTCTCTTTTTTGAAACGGAAACATTTTATAAAAAAGCATTCCAGTGCAACACTTCAGAACAGGGATGTTGGACAAGATTGCTACACTTTATTGTGGCTTTGTGGTTAAACAAGCACCAGAACGTCAGACTTGGCCAAAAGAGAAGAAAGAAACAACTTTCTCAAACACAGCTATTTCCAGCCACTATTAACATTCTGCACAGGTGTCTGGGTGAAATACGCATTTCGGCACATAGCTAGTTACAGGCTGGTTATCCTCACCGGGCCACTCTTCAGAGCCCCAAAGCCACACAGCAGAGCACAGCACTGTGCTAGAAAGCCTAGCTTGAGCACATTTTTCTTCCCCAAAGTGAATCCCATGCAAGAATCCCACATGCAGTCCGAATGGCACAGGCAAATCACATACCTGACAAAAACACTATTTATAGAAATGTTTCAGGTCAGCAAATACCACCAATCTTCACATCTGCCTTATTTGCTCTAAATCACAGCACAAAGTTTGTAGAAAAATTATGCCAAATATTGCCATTCAACTTCAATGAAGACTTCATATAGTTTGAGCTTAGTGGAAACTACACAGTTGTGACTGCAATCTGTTGTGATCTCTTACACTGACACTCTGCCTGCTGCGGACAAGGATTAGCCACATCGTCTCAAAGCACTGGCAGAGTGCTCCTGACTGTGACAGTGACAGAGTCCTCTTCTGTGAGCTGCGATTAACCTAACTTCCAGCACCATTCTCTCTACTTTCTATGCAGTTGGCCTTGCCCGATATAAAAGGAAGACCGGTTTCCACGAATGGGCTTCACAGCGTGAGAGGTTTGCTCGGTACCACCAGCACACCGCGGATGTTACAGCAGTCCAGACAGCTCCTCATCACAGAGGCTCCGATGCCTCCCTACGGCACGTCTGTACAGATAAGCTTCAGGTGTGCTCCAAGGCTCACGGGCTGTTCAGGGCAGGGGAACTAGATTTCACTGCGGTCGCTGATCGGTGACTCTTACAAGCAAACCCAGGCCCTCAGCGCTTCCCTGTGTGCAGCAGGACAGCTCTGCGCTCCTCTCCACCACTGCCACCTTGCCCACAAGTCTGCTGCCTTCCTCTGCCGGTTCCCTCCTCCTAACAGTAGTACCTCTTCGCAGCTCTTCTTCTCAGGCTCCCTCTGTAGACTTGCATCTTCATCTCACGACAGTAACACACAGGGATGCTTCAATTGCAAAACCATCCCGAAGCCATGAGAACCCAGCTGCATCTCAGTGCACACGAGGAACTCGGTCCCTCTGGCAGGCTGCAAAGCTCCTGCAGCAGAGCCTCGACACCCCCAGAACAACGCACATCCTCTTGCCTGCTTTGTGGAGACTTAAGTCCTCAAAAACACACAGCCGCAGCCAGAGGAGTCAGTGAATAATTAAGCTTGCCACGATTTCAAACCAGAACTTTTACCTCATGCGTTACACCCTATGGGCTTGCTTTATGTGCCTGCTGTGACTTGCCTTGGGCAGGTCCTACAACCACTAAGTCAGGAGCTGCCTTTTCCACACCGAAACAGAGGTGCAGGCAACCTCCGGCAACCGCTAACAGCAAAATGCACACACCAAAATGTGCACTCAGGGAAGACAGAAGAGGCAAAATGCACACACGTTCAAAATTCTGTCAAGTTGTATTAATTTGTAATACTGCAAATCATAGAAAGTTTTGGGTCGGAAGGGACCCCTAGAGCTCATCTAGTCCAACCCCCCCGCAGCGAGCAGGGACACTGCTAACTAGATCAGGTTGCTCAGAGCCCCGTCCAACCTGGTCTTGAATGTTTCCAGGGATGGGGCCTCCACTACCCCTCTGGGCAACCTGTGCCAGTGTTTCATCACCCTCGTTGTAAAGAATTTCTTCCTTATATCCAGCCTAAACCTACCCTGTTTTAGTTTAAAACCATTACCCCTCGTCCTGTCAAATAGATTAGATCAATTTGGTCTGGTGAAATCCATGTAAAAATTTTGTTTTGTTGTTTTCACTTCTGTTTGCTTCCCCAGATTCTTTGCAGAAGCCTGAGGATGGCACGTGTTCAACATGGTTCTATTCCCTCCACATATACACACCCCCTCTTCTTTTTTTTGGCTTTAGCCAAATGTCTCTTGTGGTCCTCAGAAGCCTCCTCCTTCCTAGATCATTTCCGTTCCAGCGATGCTGCCCCTACTCCTGCCTGCCATCTTCCAAACCCACCTCCAGCCCAGCCTCCCCCTCTTCTGTTCTCCCCTTCATTCCCAGAGCTGCAAACTAGGAAATCTGTGGGCTTCCCAAATTTGTTATTAGCAGCTAATAAAATTCCATACTAAACCGCTAAAAAACCCCCAGCACATTGACTTCATGAAACCCTACAGAACGAACCAAAAAGACTACATCAAACAGCACTAGGAAAAAAAAAAAAAAAGTGGCCATTGAGGCTCCCTTTTCCACAACTTTCTAGCACTGATCTTTCCAGCTAACACCAAGCACGTGGCTCTAAGCAACGCATTATGAAGGTGTAAGTGTGAAAAAAAAATAAATCCCAAACTCAGGAGGCGGCTTATTTTACCTTTCACCGTGGAGGAACTAATGATTTGTAATGTATTTAAACTTTCTGACAAAAAAGCTAAGCAAAATCCCATAATCGCTCTGCCTTCTTTGCTCTCCACGCTTACAGAGAACCCCAAAGCAAGGAATCACACTTTCTTCAGCAGAGACGTATACATCTGCATGTTGTCAAACAGGCCCAAGTTCCAAAACTTTTGCTTTAAATGAAAAAGTACAAAATGTATACAAATACACACTCTGGCGCAAGTCCAGCTCCCTTACCTTGTGCAGAGAGTTCAGACTGGGGAGCAAAGTTGCCAAGCTCTGTTTCTGAGTCCATCACACTGTTGTTTGGCTTACCACACACATTCAAACGTTTCTCAACTAAGTCTAAACGATTCTCATAGTCCTGATCTGTCAGGTCTCCCTCAAGCACCTTTGAATGAGGGGAATGCCTACGTCCCAAGCACTCATTTCCTTTCAGTGAAAAGCCAAAGGCACTCTCCAAGTTTCCTTGTTCCCTAGATCTACTGATGTGCTTATTAGATCTAGCACTACTTTGGTTAAAACGCTGCCATCGCTTTTTGGGAGCTACGTGATTGATATCATTAGACTCATCACCAAGAGAGCTCTCACTATTTGCCAATCCTGAATCCAAGTCTGGACTCTCCCCATTTTCAGCAGAAGTGCAGCTCTCAATATTTCTACCAGCTTCAGGTCTCCTTTGAACACGATCTAAATTGTCATCAGATAAACAGGCAGAGTCTTCATCAGTTGAATGTTCTGTTAAATCAACAGACTCTTTCCTCTCAGTATCTTCTGCTTCATTACCTAGAGGACTGGTAACCGAACCGTGAACGCGGAATGCATGTTCTCCTGAATCTCTGGATAACCGACTTAGCAACTTACTTGGCCCTCCTGGTTTTAAGTCCTTTCTGTTTGAAACTGTTTTATCTCCAAGCTTTGATGACTGCTTAGATTTTGAACAGTTGCGTTTGGACACGCAATTTGTGCCGTTTGTCCCAGAAACAGCAGTACTCGCGGGCTCCCTTTTACTAGTACTAATCCCCGTCAACTTGGTTGGAGGATTGCGGGAAAATGAGGAGTTGCTTATAGTGGAGTTTGGATTTACTGTTTCCTGGACACAATCTCCATTTTTTTCTATTTTATATGGGGGACCTACAATAGTCAAGGACTTCAGACCACTTGCAGAATTGCTTCCAGAACCATCAGCTGTGCTGGTATTTCGAAATGGGACTATATTTTGACCAGTCATCAGTTGCTGCTCTTTTGTCTTACTGTCATGCATATCCTTCAACATCATTAACAAGGTGCTGAATTTGTAATCAGGCTCAATAGGCAGACGACCATGACCAGAGGCAGAAGAGAAAAGTAAAGGTACTGTGGCCTTTGGAGCGCCAGAGTCATTAGCATCATCGTTGATGGACCGGTAAGACAGCTCCTTCAGCTCTGACAAGACGTGTTTCACCACAGCCGTTTCTATTTCAGCAGAATCCCTGGGTTTCTCATGCACGTTGTTTAACAGTTTCTGACCATCAACTTTTCCGCTTCTCTGAAGAGAATCTCTCTGAAGGCCAGAGAAACCTTTGGTATCAGAAGAGCAGCGATTCACACCACCCTCCTCTTCTGCAAGAGAAGGCTCCAACCCAGCAACTTTTTCTTTATGTTTGCATTTTATACTCCTGATTCGGGGCAATTTCATGCTTTTCGGTTTTAAGATTGTTTGATTTGCAACAGCAGGCCAGGAGCTGTCCTTGGAAACACTTTGGGGAATAATGTGCTTGTTTGCTAGGGAAAGATTGTCATTCATCACATTTGAAGAGCATTCAAGAGCCGTCAATGACATCTCAGCATCAGAGAAGCCTACTTCAATGCCTCCATCTGCAAATTTAGCATTAAGTCTGCTGGTTACTGAACCTCCCAGAGCTTTGCGATCTCTGTATGACTTTTTCCTTGCCCTTCTGTTGCTCTTCTGAGAAAGATACATGGAAAGCTTAACATTTCCACTTGACGTCACAGGAAATTCCTTCTCCACTTTATCTGAAGAATCACTAACTTCGAGAGCACTAGAGGCTCTCTCTGAACTTTGGTCCATGGTATCTACATCACTATTCCCACCATCTGAGAGGGAAGAGGATGAATCTGATTCAGTTTGCTTTTTCTCAATACCAGCATCAGACGCAGAATAGTGTATTTGTAATTTGGAACTGCACAAAATGCCCAAGGAGCTCTTCTCTCTCTCCAAAGATGCGCTGGAAAACAAATCCCCTTGGAGCGTGTTCTTCAGAGCATCACTTTTACGCTTCTCATAATCTGGTTTCAAAGGTGTCTTTTCAAAACGTCTTTCTCCAAAGGAAGAAAGCAAATGGTTTCCCCTGGCGCTACTGGATGCTTTCAGGCTGTTGGCAATCCGGCGAAGTTCATGAGATGCATGTTTATCTGGTAGGTCCCCAACTATCATGTTTCTAACTATGCTCTCTGGTGTTTTTTCTCTGATTGCTCCCCTAGATGCTTCCCCTCTTGTGCCATTCTTTTTTACTCTAGTCCTTTTTCTGCTCTCAGAGCTTTTTTTCACATGTGGCTTAATGTGCAATTTTCCTTTTTCACTGGCCAGGTGTCCGGAGTGAAATGCCAAGGATTTAAAACAGCCATTCAGCTGCCTGTCCCTTTCTGCTCCAGGGCCATTGGCATAGTATTCCAACTGCATTTCCTTCTCGCTGTCCAGCTCGCTGGAGTTCTGGCTGCACTTTTGATCCTCTGGCCCCCCGAGAAGTATGTCTTCCGCCTGTCCAACACTGACTTCCCACTTAGCCATAAATCTCTGAGGAACCTTAAAGGTGGAGGAGACAAAAAAAGGGAAAGAAAACATTTGAGTGGGTAACCAACAAGATAAAAGTGAGACTGAGGTGCACAAGGCACAGAACACAGTGACAGTCCTGCATTTTGCATCTTTAAGACAATCACATGGATTCCCAGAGACTGTGCCCAGTGGACACAGAAAATACTGCTCCTGGGTGAGCACCCCACACTCCTCCTGAGCCTAATAAAAATCCCTGTGCATTCCCAAATCTGCAAAAAGGTCCCTGCAAGCACAGGTCTCCCAGGAACTAGATGTCCTGGCATTGCAGCACACCATTAACACAACAGCCTTTAAAAAGGGGAACACATGTGGTATGGATCCCTGGCACAAAACCACAAAACAATAGCCAACAAGCCTCTCAAGGCAAACGCAGCATCCTTTACCTCAACATATCTGAGCAGACACGTTTGCTTTGCTCATTCTTGTTTCTTCCTGCATCCCTTGAACTCAAAGCACAATTCATTCTTCCCTCTCCAACAACTCACCTCGGTACAAACATGAGATACACACACACATCTAAAATGTGCTCTATCAAATTCAAGATGTCCACTACTGGAAGTGCCCTAGCTTTAACTTTCTACCTTTACTATAAAACAAAAAGCATTCTGCATACTGGACAGGAATCTCTGCTAACATCTAAAACCAGCAAGAAATTTGTTTCTTATCTGTGTGTGTAGTTTTTGGCTGCACAACAGCAAACCAAAGGCTTCACAACTTCTCCTAAAATCAAAACTAATTCCAACACAGGAGGAAAAACTCAAATTTCTGACAACTTTTCTTAAAAAAAAAAAAAACCACAAAAAACCAAAAAAACCACACCAACAAAAAAATCTCATCTCAGCAAATTAAAAAGTTTTATGGAGCCTGATAGCAAACCAGCCAAATACTCTCAGGTTTACATCAGATCTTGGCTTCCAGGGATGCAAACCTGGATATTTATGCAGGCAACAAACATTTGGTTCCCTCTACTGCAGCCACACTGGCACTGCCATTTACATATGGGATGAGAATCTTGCCATGCAGCACACTTCTAGGACCAGAAAAGTTACTTGGGAGCATGTACCTTGCTGTGAGGGGGCTGGGCAAACAAGGAGAGAAGTCCTTAGAGAAGATACTGAACATGCCCTTGACAAGGGAAAACCAAATGAACGCATTACACCCAGGGATTCACATCTGCAAGAGCACATTTAATCTGATGGTTTTGCACAGAGGTTAAGTACATAACTGTTAATAAACCGCTTGGAAAAAAGAAAAACCAGACACAATTGCCTAGAATGACTACCTGCTCTCTTACAGTAATGCAGTAGCCTCTGTACTTCTTCACTTCAGCAATTCTAAAAAGTTCATTTCTCCAGTCACCTTCCTCAAGACGTAGACCAGACCTCTGTGTCACGCTACATTATACTGGCTACAACTGCTCAGGGCTGTTATGTTTGGAAAGGGAGATGATGCGATGAGCCACAAAACTCATTCCCACAGGCTCACTGACAAAGCGTTTTCCAAGTCAAATTATAAGTCCTAACAGGCTTCTAGAAAGAGAATTACTGAAGCAGGGCTAAAAACCCCACTGCTTTATCTCAGTCAGTGATCTAGTGAAGCATGCAACTCCACCTCTGCTTCAGCTCAGCCAAAAGAGGCTGCCAGAGAGCACAGGAAGTGATTTAGAAGCGCGCCGTAACAGACCTCAGGAGAGAGCTGTGCCGCTGAACACATCTCACACCAGAGAGACCCGACTCCTCTGCCTCCCAGAGCTGGCCAGGGCAGCAGGCCACACCCCGACACAACAGAGCCTAGGAACTCCTGGCAGCTTATAAACCACGCTCCTTGTAAGGATGCAAAGACTCACTTCTCTGGCCGCTTTGCTGCAGTCACTGCCACAGAAGCAAGCTGTCAAAGTGCAATTCCAGGCATAAAGGAATACTTTGTACTGTGCACATTCTAAGAATCAACAACATATTAGAGAAAACAGCTCTTTCACCTTATGTTTGTAGCCTTTTTCCTTTTGCTTTCCTCTTCTTCGAAGAACAGGCAGCTCTTCAAACTGATGTCTTCCTTCAAAGAGGACGATAGCTTTCCCAGCAACCCAGGTTTTCTCTGAAGGCTCTCCTAAGGCATCCACATAGTATTCTCGGTATGGTCTCCGATTGGAAACTATTTTGAGAAATTCAACAGAATTAACCCCTTGCATGTAACAGGACAAAGACACACAAAAACAATCACAGAAAACGTTAATAATTTGCCAGTTAATTTTCAACTACTTTTTCCTTAATAGCATTCCCACATGAATGCCAGTTCTGGGGATTTCTAGTCAGAACTAAGGGAGACCCCTTTGATCTCTGCTGTCTCTGCTCTGTGTTGTCGCTCTCTATTTCTGAACACACTGTTTTTCTTACAAACAATTGATTAACAGGTCTAAGATGGGTTGTCTCCCTAGAGCAAAGACTACAGGTTGGCTGCAAAAAAAATTGCAAAAATATCCAAATATTTTTTTCCTTGAGAGACACAACATACTAGGCAGGACATTTCTTTTTTGCTACTCCCTGATTAATGATTAAACAGTCCAGTCCACTTGACCCTTGGGAAAAGGCAACAGTGTGCCAGCAACACCCAGAAATTACCTCCCTCTGGATAGGATTTACTCATACAGGTTGAACCTCCCCCACCACAACATACTCCATCTTGTTCAATGCTTTGTTAACAAACACTTATTTAGGACATAAAACATTAACAGCAGCATTTAAGTAAGTACACGCAAGCATGCACACTCTACAAGGACTGGTGCAACATGACAAAATGTTAGTGGTAATGAGCATCTCCACACTTCGGGGACAGAGGTGCAGAGCAAGAGAAGAAACTCAATCATGAGGGCACAATCCAAGATTTTTCAAAGGTCCCTCCTGTGCGAGAATGCTGAGCAGACATGATACAACTAAGAACTAAACCAGTACCGAGTGTGCTGGTGAAAAAGGACAGGTTACAGGCATTAGAACAGAGGAAGCAAGGCTTGAACAAGGGATATAAACATCTCCCCGCATTTCGCTGCGATGTGTGCTTCATGTTCTCCCAGGAACACCTTCACACTCTGAACATGTAGCCTGGACTTCGCAGCCCTTTTGGTTTGTGCTGCCTCTTCCAAGAGTGCCAGCACAGTGCAGCAGCCTGGCCTTCAGCGATGCCGACATTGAGATTGCGACTGACCAAGACCACCGAGATGATGAAAAATAACGACCAGGGCAACATCAAACCAAGGGCAAAGATGACAGACTTCATCCATCCCATTCACAGTACTGGGACTCAAGCCACCGAACTTTAATCTTTAAGCTCCAAAAAATCTTCAAGTCAAGAGCTTGCCAAGAAAAGCAAAACTCCTTTAAACAAAACACCATGCCTCAAAAATCCAACAGAAGAGGTTTTTGCACAAGTGATGAGTTTGAAGCGACCTGCCTTGTTTTGAAGGGCTCGTTCCCTTGGCAACGGGAGAGCCAAGGCAGGAGGACTGCGCTTCCTACAGCGCAGGCAGAGCCCCGGCAGCTCCCCCTGCCCAAAAGCACCCGAGTTCAGATCCACCTGCTCTGCCACCTCGGCATCGGGGAGGGGAGCAGCTTACATACTGCCACAACTGGAAAATGAAATTCTCCCCAGAGCACTATTGGTTTGAACATGGATAAAACACAATGGGAGGGAGAGTCTATCGTGTAGCTGGAGCTCTGACCTTGCTGGAATTTGTTAATAGCGTGTTTCCTCCCTGAAGAATTCCCTCTATTAGAAATCATCATACACAGGTTGCAAGGAGATTACTGGACAGCTATATACATTAAATCCTGTCCAAAATTTCATGGTAGGGGATGTGGGGGAGAGTATGTCTGGCATATCTTCTGGCCACATCTTCGACAGGAATTTGAGAGCTCGAAAGGGAATATTTAAAACAGCACATTCACTACTATCTAGAATTAGGATGAATGCCTCCCAAAGGATGAACGGGAAGGTGGAGAAATCACAAGTACGATGACTACAGCAACCAGACTTGGGGATGATCTGAGCACAATGCAGGAAAAGCTGCTTCATGTTTCTAGCGAAATAGCAGAGGGCTCTGAGCTGATGGCCACTTGAAAAAACGTCTACTCGTGCTCAGCACTTGGTTCTTAGGCTGGCAAGGGCCACAAAAAACAGACAGAAATACATCTGTGAGGGGTAACCTCACCAGTCTACAGAGCCGTCAGTGGCAGACGGCACCAGTTCAAGGGGCTTCCAGTTGCCCATAGGACAAAAAGAATCAAAAGGGGAAACCAGGAACAAAAAAATAATCCTTTCCATTTGCGCCAGTCTCCCCATGGCAGCTAGTATGATCCTAAAAGCACCGTGAAAGCCTTCAAATGAGCTGCCATTTCCAAACAATCACGTCCCTTCTGTTCACTCCATCACTCACCTATGCTTCTCTGCCTTGAGCTTGCAAGGCTCTCCCCTACGTTCATGGATGCACAGTTCTGTCTTATTTCTATCTCCTCCCCTCACACTCACCAGGCTCTTACTCTGCCCTAAACTTTCACACATGTGGCTCCATCTTCACGTTTTTCCGTTATTTCCCCATAAACAGCGCCTTGCACCCTTGTGCCAAACAAGACCAAAAAAATTTCACTTCTTCTCACACATTCCCACCACACCTTCAGGCATTCAGCAGCTACACTGTGCTACCCCCACCCTGCTCCGCAGCCTCTCCAGCCGCCCATTCCCCAAGCCTGGCCAACTCCAAGTGTCTGCACACACTCTAGGCTTCCCAGCTCGCTTGCCCACCCATTGCACGTCTCTGTCCTCACCTCCCTGATCCACCTCCTTTTTATCTGCTCTTTCTCTGCATTCCTTTTTTGAGAGGCTTCTATTTCTTCTGCAGTGCCCTGAGCTCAGCCCAGCTACTCATCCTTCTCTGGGAAGGAAAGCCTACACGTCCAACAGCTATCTGTGCCACTTCCATCAGGCTCAGCCCCACCTTCTTCCTGTCACCTCCCTGATCTAGGTCTACTTTCTAGATCCAGGTCTTCCACAGTAAAGTCTATTTCTTCATACCTTTCAAGGGCCAGAAATGTTTTTTAAAATTAATTAAAAACTGCAGTACCCTGCCATTCACTTTGTGTCTGAGTAGATACAGTACCTTTCATTTTTGAGTGACAGTCCAGCACTGGGTCATGACAAATTGTGCATGGCCACCATGGGCGTCTGTTGAACTTGGCCCAAACAAGATCCCCAACTTCATACTTCACTGGAGTAGGTTTCTTCTTGGCTCGGATCTTTGGGGAAAAACCAGAACACAAGAAATCACTAAAGCTCCAGATGTTTGTAAAGATATTTGCCTCCCCCCTGTGTGCAGATTACATCTGGCCACCAGAGACATTTACATTAAAAAGCAAGTCCTGATTCTACTTAGTGGCTCCTACACCTTCAAAGAGCAGGATGATTCCCTCCATCCTTCTGATTCTTATTGAAAACAATAAACCAGGGCTTGAGAAGTTTTTTGTTATTTTTTTAGTAAGAAACATGACCTCTGGTAAATGACTGCACTCAAACTTCACACATTTGAGCAGGTACTAGCCCCCACTACTTCACTAACACCAATTTGTTCATTTCAAAGGTTGGAGTGTACAGAAAAAGTCGTAGTAAGAGACAATGAAATATACCTGACTGGAAGAAGGTGATGAGAACAGCAAATTAAGTTTAAAAAATTAATTTAAAATTAGTTTCTCAATGAAAAAAAAAAAAGTTGGTGTGTACAAGCTAGTTAATTTCCCTGCTTCTAAGACGTACTCAAGAAAAAGCTTCACCATGAAGTATCTGAAACCAAAGGCAGGTACAATCAAAAAAACCCTTATGTCCTAACTTTTAGTTTATATAAGCAGAACTGCCATTGCTCTGCCCCAAAAATACAGAGCAGGAGAAAGAGAGCACAATGGCAGCCACCCCACCCCACCCAGGTGACAGACAGACAGACTTTGCCTGTCTCCAAAACCCACTCACAAGTGTCAGCTTTGTAGAAACAGACACCCGAGCCCACTCGGCTTCCCAGAGCCATGCAGCAATCACGAGAACATCACAATCCTTCAACACACAAAAACCTAATGCTGCTTAATGCCATTTCTGCCTCGCTATCGAAGAGCAGAAAGCAGATCCCGTGTTGCTTGCTCAGTACACACACTCTCTGGCAGTGTGCTACCAGCAGGACCTTGGCCAAGAAGAGGATTCAGGAGCTTACCAGCGTCGTGACTCACTGAGCCAAGACGGGGTATGACAGGTTTCCAAGGGATCCAGGAGTTCCCATGCCTGGCTGTGGGGTATCCTGCCTGCTTACCAGCACCAGCCAACAACACGTCCCAGGTGGGTTCAGCATTTTAAGAGCTCTAAGAAGTGCTGCAGGGATTTTTCTTGCCAATAAGCACCAGCAATATGCTCCTCATTAAAGCCGTCATAGCACAAATACGCACCTTCTCACTTCACATCCCTGTCCTGCTCACCACCCTTCCCGAGGCACGTCTCTTGCAATTCACAGTTCAACATCCTAGCAACTAAGACACAACAGACCTCTCTAATAAATGGTGTATTCTGCTTCAGGTTGAGTTTTATGGGTTTTCTTCACGTGGTTAAAGAAAATACAAAAGGATAAACTCCTCTGTTACACGAAAAAAAGCAGGTAATGACATTACAGACTACATTGCTGAAATTCTTCTCCTTCAGTCATCAAAAGCCACGCAATAACTTACGGCTGAGCAGGAGCTTGGACCCGGGAACGGGAAGGAGCAGCAGGCAGGGGCTGCAGCCCCTCGCTCGGCCACTGCCCTATATATATATATATATTTTTTTTACACATTTTCCAGCCTTAGGCTTTAAGGGGCCTATGTATATCACAACTGATTATCTCCAGTGCAGCGCACAGTACACACACAAGGTACGGGCGCCCTGCTGACAGCTGTAACCTGAGCAGAGTCAGCTGGATGGAGCAGTGGAACTATGCTGGAGATCTGCCAAGGCCATTCACGCTGCTCCACCTGAGGGACACCCACAGCCCCTGCCCAGAGGCAAGCCTGCATCTAAATCAACTCTTTGTCACCCTCTAATACCCCACACAGAAGCCTGATGAAAACCTGGCTTTCAAGAAACTATTCAGACAATGCTTCAACAGTTGCCCCTCTTTCCGCAGCTATTCTCATTCCTCCCAGTTTGCTCTCTTGCTTCCCAAACACCAGCAGTCAGACCTGGGTCTCACCATCACCCAAGTCCATCTCACCGAAGGCCCCACCTGGGGCGAAGAGGCAGCCCACGCAGGGCACCATGTTCTGCCGCCCCGAGGAAGCGCAGGGCACTCTCTTGCGTTATTTTCTCTCCTCTCCCCCCAGCCCCCCCTACCCGGCCAGAGATGCCTTAACGTTACCAACAGAAACAGCCAGCAGAGGAGTGCACGCAGCAGTTATCATTTCCAGGTACAGCAAGTCTCTTCTTTAAGCTCTGCTGTGTGATGCCAGAATTACAGCCCCCAAAGCACGCATTCTGGGGTCAGAATACAACTAATTTCATTCCTATTACAATTAACATTTACTATGCCAAGCTCAAACTGCAGAGACATCCCGATGGCCAAAAACTCAGCCCTGCAGTAATGGTGACGTTTCTGTGAGCTAGGGAAAGCCCAAGTGTTTTTTTTAAACACAACGAACTCCAGATGTAATCCATACATATGGTCAGAGTACTCTTTACCCGCAGAGCAGGGAAATGTTCAGGTGTCTAAATAACAGGAAAACTTGTGAGCCACTGCATATCAGGTGGGTACCGTGCTGCAACTCCACTGGAGATACACCGAAGAAATTCAAAGCAGGTAAGAGACTGGGTTAGTCAGGAAGAGAAAGACAGTGCCTTGCTCTGTCGGTCAGCAACACCAGGGTTTTTTTATCATTACAAGTTCTCCTAAAGGGAGTGAGTACCGTCTACTCTGTTATCAACTGTTTGGCATTAATTTGCTGTTCAGACAAGCTACAGCCTAAACTCTAGACAACAGACAGTATTTCAGATCACCTTGTGCTATTTTTGGAAAGAACAAGAATGTATCTTGTGGACGTTTGTAATCAAACCCTCTCCCCCACGGATCACTGA